AATGTTTCTGGTGATGTTTCTTTAGATCAGTGTCAGGGTTGTAAGCTTGGCAAACAGCTCCAACTTCCATATCCCTCTAGTGGGTCAGTGTCACAGCGTCCCTTTGACCTTGTTCATTCTTATGTATGGGGTCCTGCACCATTCGTTTCAAAAGGGGGTCATCAATATTATATCATATTTATCGATGATTTCTCTCGCTTCACATGGGTGTATTTCATGAAACATCGTAATGAGGTGTTATCCATATATAAGATATTTGCTCAGATGATTCGTACTCAATTTGACACTCCTATTCGTGTTTTTCGTGCTGACTCTGCTGGGGAGTATCTCTCGGGCGCTTTTCGCCAATTTCTTTCTGAGCAGGGCACTCTTTCTCAGTTTTCTTGTCCTGGTGCGCACGCTCAGAATGGTGTTGCTGAGCGTAAACATCGCCACCTTCTTGAAACTGCTCGTGCTCTTATGATTGCTTCCTCTGTTCCACCTCATTTTTGGGCTGATGCGATATCCACTGCCACTTATTTAACTAATATTCAGCCTTCATCTGCTCTTCAAGGCGGAATCCCATATGAGCGCCTCTGTGGCAAGCCACCAGATTTCTCCAGTCTTCGCCTTTTTGGGTGTCTTTGCTATGTCCTTCTTGCTCCTCGTGAACGCACTAAGCTGACATCTCAATCTGTTGAGTGTGTTTTCCTGGGCTATAGTGCTGAACACAAGGGATATCGTTGTTGGGACCCTGCTGCTCGTCGTATGCGGATTTCTCGGGACGTTACTTTTAACGAGTCTCGCTCATTCTATCCTCGGCCTACCTCTGATGTTTCTCCCTAGACCGTTGTTGAGCCTCTTTCCTTCTTGATCTTTCCTGATACACCTATCTCCACTGTGTTTCTTCCTCCACCATCTCCTCTTGCACCCTCTCCTTCGCTGCCTTCTCAGCCGCCTTCACATGTTCCTTTTAGGTCCATTTATGATTCCAAACCCCCTGTGATTCACACCTACAGTCGTCGCCTCCAGGCTCCAGAATCCCTCGCCTCCTGTTGAGGCGTCTCCTGATGTTTCACCTCCGGTTGAGACATCTTCGGTTGCGGATATTTCCTCTCAGCCATCCTCTCGTTATGATCTTCGTGATCGTGGGTCGCTAAAGCCTACAAACCGGTATGGTTTTTGTCGGGCTTTATTTTTTCTCGAGCCGGCCACATACCATGATGCCATTTGTCATCTAGAATGGCAACATGCCATGGCTGAGGAGATTGCTGCTCTAGAGCGCACTGGCACTTGGGATCTTGTTCCTCTTCCTTCTCATGCTCGTCCCATCACGTGTAAGTGGGTTTATAAGATTAAGACTCGCTCAGATGGCTCTCTCAAGCGTTATAAGGCCCGTCTTGTTGCTCGTGGTTTTCAACAAGGAGCATGGTCGTGACTATGATGAGACCTTTGCTCCTGTGGCTCACATGACCACTATTCACACTCTCCATGCGGTGGCCTCTGTTCGTGCCTGGTCCATTTCTCAACTCAATGTCAAAAATGCCTTTCTTAATGGTGAACTCCATGAGGATGTCTACATGCGACCACCTCCTGGGTATCTTGTTCCTGATGGCATCGTTTGTCGTCTTCGTCGCTCTCTTTATGGATGAAACAAGCTCTCTCGCTTGGTTTGGCCGCTTTTCCTCTCGTGATCATGGTGTTGGTTTTTCTTCGAGTGCTCATGACCCGCCTTGTTTGTTCATAATTCATCTCGTGGCGCACTCTTCTTCTTATTTATGTTGATGATATGCTCATCTTTGGTGATGATTCGAGTATATTGCATTTGTGAAGGTAGCGTCTTTAGTGAGCGTTTCTCATGTCCGATCTTGGCCCTCTTCGTTACTTTCTTGGGATTGAGGTCTCTTCAACCTCGATGGCATTTATCTGTCCCAAGAAAAGTACATTCAAGATCTTCTTGATCGTTTCTTCCTCACCGATCATTGCAATTGTTGAGACTCCCATAGAGCTTAATCTTCATCTTCGCACAACCGATGGTGAACCTCTCTTGATCCCACTCGATATCGTCATATTGTTGGGAGTCTTGTCTATTTAGGTGTGACTTGTCCTAACATTTCATATGTGTGCACATTCTTAGTCGGGTTTGTTTCCGCTCCCACTCACCTCCACTATAGTCATCTTCTTCGTGTCTTGCGTTACCTTCGTGGGACCATTACTCGCCGTCTGTTCTTCCCACGCTCTAGCTCTTTTCAACTCCAAGCCTACTCCGATGCTACTTGGGCTAGCGACTCTTCTGATCGTTGCTCTCTTTCAGCCTATTGTGTTTTTCTCGGTGGTTCTCTCATTGCTTGGAAGACTAAGAAGCAGACCGCGGTTTCTCGTTCGAGTGTAGAGGCTGAGTTGCGAGCTATGGCTCTTGCGACAGCAGAGGTTACTTGGTTGCGATGGCTAATTGAGGATTTTGGTGTTTCAGTTTCTGTGCCAACTCCTCTCTTGTCTGACAGTACCGGTGCTATCAGCATAGCTCGTGATCCGGTGAAGCATGACCTCACCAAGCATATCGGTGTTGATGCGTCTTACACTCGGGCACAAGTGCAGGATGATGTCATTACTCTTCGCTATGTGCCTTTGGAGCTTGGGGTTGGTGACTTCTTCACAAAGGCATGCATAAGAGCTCAACATCGTTTCTTTCTCTCCAAACTCAGTTTTCATGATCCACCCTGAGTTTGAAGGGGGTGTTAGATATAGATGTATAGGTGTCTTTGCTATTTCCTCTTTGTGTAAGGGCTTCTATGCATATATGCCCATGTACATGTTTGGGCTGAAGCCCACCGGAATGCATTGAGTTCATTCACTCCTAACAGTAGGATCGGCACGCCACTCATGGTGATGAGCCTCATCAGAGGGCGAACCGCACCACTCACCCCAGCCAACCTGGCAGAAGTCATACTTTTATCTTGAGCAGCAGCAGATATATGTTTAGTTTTGATAGTTTACACAGAGGTATCTCCAGGTAGGAAACATGTGCATCAGTAATTTGCTACCATAATTGCTAGTCCCTAAACAATTGATCTGTAAAACACTGAACAAGTTGTACAAGTCGTCGTTAGTTTTTGTTAGGTGGTGTCATAATGTTTTCCATAACCACCTGAAGTCAACTTTTGCCCCTAATTGGTGCGAACCGTCAATAATTGTTGTGACCCTTGATCTGGTAAGGTCCAATAACCGGTGGTAGTTGATTAATCATGGCTTACTTTACAATAGGATTAGTGCTTACTCAACTAGAATAACCATGAGTGTATATTGTGTTAGAAAATAGCCATAGAATCAAAGCAGGATGGATGAAGTGACGCCAAACATCTGGTGTCCTATGTGACAAAAGGGTACCACTGAAGCTAAAAGGCAAGTTTTATAGGACGGCGATTAGACATGCTATGTTGTACGGTGTAGAATGTTGGCCTACGAAAAGATGACATGTTCAATAGATAAGTGTCGAGGAAATGCGTATGTTGCGTTGGATTTGCGGTCATACAAGAAGGGATCGAGTTCGGAACGATGATATACGTGATAGATTAGGGGTAGCACCAATTGAAGAAAAGCTTGTCCAACACCGGTTGAGATGGTTTGGACATGTCCAACGGAGGACCTCCAGAGGCACCGGTGCGTAGTGGAATCCTAAGCCAGGATAGTAACATGAAGAGAGGCAGAGGAAGACCGAAGTTGACTTGGGTAGAGGCAATAAAAGGAGACTTGAAAGGATGGAATATACCCAAAGACTTAGCCTTAGATAGGAGTGCTTGGAAAACAGCTATTCACGTGCCTGAACCTTGATTGCTTCTGCTGGGTTTTAACTCTAGTCTACCCCAACTTGTTTGGGACTTAAATGCTTTGTTGTTGTTGTTGTATATTGTGTTAGAAAAAAGTTTTAACAGTGATTGCCAGACCAAAGGGTTGAGCAATACTAATACTGAAGCCTGGAAAGTTAGATGGGTGAGTGTGAGATGGAAAGTGAAGGGTAGAAATAAAACAGTTTGGTTTTGAGAGACGGAAAGTGTTGCGTAGAAATAAAGCATTTTGGTTTTGATCAACTATTGGATGCAAAGCATTGCATAAAATAGTGCAATGACAATCAGCGGTGTCAGACAGAAGCTTGGCTTGGCTAGTTGATTTCTGGTGGACTTCCACGTTGAAGTATTGCCTAGTAATGGTATGGATTGCCAAACCTCGGTGCAATCACGTCTGCCGGGTTGGCTGGGGTGAGTGTTGCAGCTCGCCCTCTCATGAGTCTCGTCACCATGAGTGGTGTGCCGATCCTGCACCAGCTACACTTGGAGGAGAAGGTCCTTTGCCACACCGTGAATAACTATTGCGCCATCAACGATCATCATGGGCATGTCCAGGTGTAAAGTAAACTCCTCTTGGATTTGTCAGGAAGGATGATTCAATCATGAATCAGCCCCATTGTGGCCCATGTTGAGTTGCTAATTCAGGTCTCCATAACAGCAGGAGAGTATCCGAACTTGTCAAAAGAGGTGGCACTGCAAGGGAACTCCTATTTAGTTTGCAATGTTCCCTCTACTTAAATGTTTGCAGTTTAGCCCCCAAATTTAGCAAATCTTCAGTTGCAGTTGAACAAAATGCTCAGCTTACATCAGAATTCAAAAGCAAAACAATATTCTGTCATGTGCATCGAGATTTATCTGAAAGCATAGGATTGCTGGCTAGACCCATTTTCACAAAAGCTTAGAAAGGATGCAAATATCTATAATAATAATTTCCCTTCCAACCTAATATGAATGGATCAACATGCAGTAGTAAATACACGATTATTACTAACCAATTAGCTCGCATCCCAAACAGTTTAGCTGATTCTACTCTTCCAATAGAGTGACAAAACCACCGTCATCTCTGGGGATCCATCATCTCTGCAGCATGGGTTTTAGTCGATCCCCCGGTTGAAACCCACCATCCCAAAAATAAAGCACGAATCCTCATCGTATTCGTATCAACCAGAAACCGCCATGGATCAGCAGTCTTACGAACACCCTCTGAATCTAAAACAGGCAAGGAGGGGTACGGAGAAGGAGAAGGCAGATTTACCTGGCCGTAAGATAGTGAAGCCGACGACGACACGAGCCCGACGCCTCGGGTAGAACGGCAGGCGCGCTTGTAGGGGGGATGGCAACGGACCTTTCGGTGGAAATCCCCACCGGCCCAGGTCGGACCCGAACCCCCGCGAGACAAAGATCCTAACCAAAAACAAGGGCATTAAGGGCCTGTTTAGTTGCCAAATTTTTTTGTGCAGTACTCCGTCACATCGAATCTTGCGGCACATGTATGAGAGTACTAAATGTAGACGAAAAAAAACTAATTATACAGTTAGATGAGAAATCGCGAGACAAAACTTTTAAACCTAATTAGTCCATAATTAGACATTAATTACTAAATACAAACGAAAGTGCTACAATTGTCAAAATCTAATTTTTTTTTTATCTAAACCGAGACACATTCGCGACAGGAATATCACCAAATAGGCTGGGGCAGAAACGCAGAAAGCAAAATGGATGCACGATAAGATGAATCGGCAACTTTGCAGGGGCTCACCGCCAGCTATCGGCCAGCAACTCGGCATATCATCGCCTCTTGGGGAAACAGAGGCTCAGGTGTAGTGGATGCAGTTGCAGAGGAAGCAGCACTGGTACACCATCAGTGACACACAGGTAATTTCTTTTTTTTTAATAAAATGACACTCAAAAGAGTGTCTCAATGTTAAACCAAGCAGTATGAATGCTTAAACACATTTATTTAGGCCGTTTGACCCAGACGGTCAGACCAGTCAGATTTACGGGTATCCGAGTGGAGGAAATTGCAGCAGATAAACTGGGCCATGCTGGCCTGGTTTCGCACGGGCACGGTCGAAGCGGAACCGAGTGAGCAGCCCAGCAGCGTCCTAGGTGTGCGGCCCATGAGACGAACACGGCCCGAATCCCAGGAGAAAACCCTAGACTGCGGCGGGCGCCTCCCATAAAAGCACAGCGCTTCTTCCCCCGCCGCCGCCACTCGCTGCAGCCTCTCGACCGGATAGGGAGCTCTCGCCGCACAAGCCCCTTCCGGCCTCCCTTCCGCCGCCGCCAAAATGGTAAGCCGCCTTCTTCCCCGCCCTCTCTGTTCCTTCCCCGAGCGCGGGCCTCGCCGAAATCGCAGTACCTTGCTGTCCTTGTGGATTGGTGCGTGGGTAGTGCCTCCTGTAGATTAGGAAGTGGATGAGTGTTTTCACTTCAAAGTTCTGGATGTGATGGCTCTCCTGGGTTGTTTAACTTGGTCGGTGGCTATCATTTACGTAGATATTTGTCCCCTTTCTGATGAACTGGTGATTCTTCGTTCGATGTTTTATTTGTGTGTGGTAGTTCGATTTGTGGCGTTGCCCCTGTATGTTGTTAGATCTGTGGAGTATGCAGCATCGCAATGAAATTTGCGATTCCTAGTAGCCATCAGGTGGTGGTAATTCTTTGTTTTTAGACTCGGTCTAGACGATTTATGTTAAATGTGCGCGACAAACTGTGCTTGGACAGTGCAGCGCACAACTTCGTTTGTTGAACTGATGTGATAGTGCAATGGCTGCTTATACATTCATAGCGCCTCCGGATGCACTGTCACAATTGTACCTGGATTTTGGCATAAATCTTTGTTATCTTTTGTTCAAATTTCAAATGCGTGGTGCTTTTGTGGGGTCCTATGATGGCATGAATCTTTGAGACCTGATTATTCTCATGATGACAACTATAAGCATATCTCCTGAGGACCTATAATCTCCGATTTGAGTTTTCAATTTCCTTTTCCAACTTATATTGTACTTGTCTATGCAGCCATATGGAGAACATGCTTATATGGTTTGATATTCAGTTGCTAAGGATATGAAATTTTGTTTTAACCTGTGCAATTTGTTTCGCATGTTATACAGGTGAACGTTCCCAAGACCAAGAAGACCTACTGCAAGAACAAGGAGTGCAGGAAACACACTCTCCACAAGGTGACTCAGTACAAGAAGGGTAAGGATAGCCTGTCTGCCCAGGGAAAGCGCCGTTATGACCGCAAGCAGTCAGGATATGGTGGTCAGACCAAGCCTGTCTTCCACAAGAAGGTAATGAAGCTTATCTATGTGATTGTACTAATGATCTGTCAATCCTTTATACCTTTGTCTGTTTGGCTGCTAGCATGAATGTCTTAATATAACTGCGAGTTCTAAATGCCTGTTCACTGCACAGTTTGGGATATGACAAATTTTGTGATTTTCAGGCCAAGACCACCAAGAAGATTGTGCTGAAGCTGCAGTGCCAGAGCTGCAAGCACTACTCACAGCACGCTATCAAGGTACTGTATCATTCTCCTGTGCTAAACTTGCTGCTGAACAAACTATTTCACCATTTGTTTTAGCTCACGCTTTCTTACTCCCTGTGTCACAGAGGTGCAAGCATTTTGAGATTGGTGGAGACAAGAAGGGCAAGGGAACATCTCTTTTCTAAGTTTATCATCACCTACTCGTGTGGGTCTACTACTGTTCTAAAAACTTGTCGTCAAATTTCAATGTTACTAGTAGTTCTGAAAGCAGACCATGCTATGTATCCAAATTCCAATGTCTGACATTTGTTCTGAGTGTTGGTCGACTTTTGGCTAAATGAAGTTTTGTAGCTTGAATCGTCATTGAATCTGTTCTGTGTTTGATTTTGTTCTGCCATTGTCTATGCGTGGTTTTGTGTCTAAAGCGATCATTTTTAGGGTGTGATTGGTTAGAGGACAGGGTGGATTGTATATAGATATCTATGGATATCGGATATGAATATCCATATTATCTGTTTGGTTGGATGGATGGGACAAGCTATTTTTCTGTTTCTGTTTGGTTCGATGGATATGTTTGGGGTGAGCCATTTTTTTTTGTTTGGTAGGATGACAATGGAGATGCAGTCACCACCTACCCAAATTGGTGAGGTTACCCAAGAAAACATGTACAAAAGCTGCAACACATGTACAAAACACATGACATCTTGATAAACACATGCATTGTCCGACCAGAAATTATATAGGTAGATAATTAGCAGGTTTTAGAACTTTCTCACATTACATACAAAATATATAATAACCCAAGAGTGCAATGTTTGATGGGTTACAAGCATGACTGCTATAAATATATAGATTAACCCGTAGTGCATTGTATATGGGTTACTATCAAAAGAGCTATAGCATTAGTGTGCAACAAGTACAACAATCATATCTTTAGTTTTCAGGGAAGTGCTCGGTAATAAACTTTGCAGCCTAGTTTAACTTTTGAGATAAAATAGATAATAAAAGGCTCTAGCTTTGCTTGGACGGTCAACAAGATGCTTATGGTAAAATGATAGATGGGTGTCATCAAAGCCTGGAAGACTACAAATAGCATCATACAGACCTTCAGGAAGTTCGTCAGGCATTCCGGCTTTCTCTATAGCACAAGAGATTCTTTCCTCAACTTCTTTCATCGGCTGTATCAGTCCATCATCTTCCCTCTCCTTTTCAGTTGTCTTTACTCTTTTGTTAGGCCCATAGCAGAAGATGTAGCTCCATCAGCAGCAGTATCACCATCCCCACCATCTTCACCTTGTTCATTTTCACCAATTCCAGTTGGTAGAGGCTCATTTGATTCCTTTGCATACTTTCTTGTGGCGACATTAGCACCAAAGATAGTAGCCATCTCATCATAGTGCTCAATAGACTTGTTGAAGAATTCCGCATCAGCTTTATGGTCCTTGTATTGCAATATATGAAGAAACTATTAGACCAACTAGAAGGAAAACTAGAAGACAATATTAAAATAAAAATTATGATAGCAAGGGTACCACAATATAGCTTGTATAATGCTCATGATCAAGTGAAATGACATAGTTGACTTCATCCCAAAGAGCACCACTCAAACTCCTGAGTTTGTTGATCCTCACATACTTCCTCTTCTTTGTTCTAAGATGGTTACTAATCTACTCCCCAATTCTCTTGCACTTGAAATGATCATTCAAAGCCTTGGCATAAGAATTCAAATGGGTTTTCTTGAAACCTGATGATGTTTTGCTATTAGGCACTACATTGGCGAGGTAAGTAAGCACGAAAGAAAACATTGCACAAGGCCAAGTGACATGGCCACCACCCTCAGCATGCTCCCCAGTAGCCTCAAATTCCATTTGCCTATCACAATGTCATTCAAATTTAAAAATCAGATTGTAAAAAAAAACAGCAAACCATATCCAGACGAAAAAAGACAGCAAGCCATACATATGTCCAGCACGAAAAAAAAAGCAAGCTATATCCAGCAAGCCATACACATGTCTTCATTGTAGTATAAGGAAAATTCAGCGAGCCATATATATGTCCTTATTACAATAAAATGAAAATTCAACAAGCCACACATGTCTTTATTACAATACAATGAAAATTCAGCAAACCATAAACAATACAAATTAATCTTGTAAATAATTTTGGCGGTCTTGCCACACAGCATTGACAATTCTCTACCTAAAATTAACCATATGTTGATGCTCACTAGCTCCCATCTTGTAGAACCCAGTTATGCATAATGCAGCAAGCCACCACAATATCTACTTGTGTTGAAAATGGAAAAAATGGGGTGGCATCATCAAGTATTTTGAATCTCCGCTTGAGAGACCCAAATGCTTGTTCTACTGTCACACGAAGAGCAAAGTGTCTAAGGTTGAACAATTCCTTCTCATTTTACACATGATTGTTCCCCCACTCATTCAAGTGATACCTCACAACCCGAAAAGGTGGTAAAAAACCCAGTTTGGCTCCATATCCCGCATCAACGAGATAAAATTTACCTAATATAAGAGAGAAATGTGGGTGATAGTGCTACAAAGTATGGCATGTCAAATTGAGGTTCAAAATTTTTGGGTTGAATACCTTGTGGTACACGAAGGCCATTTTCACGTTCTAAAGCATCTATCAACACAAGAGCATCATGTGTTGTCCCCACCCAACCCGCCAAAACATATATAAACCGAAGATCAAAATCTACAGCTGCCCCTACATTTTCGGTACAATGGGCCTTCCTACCATGGAAGAAAGGCTCCATATCCTTGGAAACAGAGGCTCGTACATGTGTGCCATCGATAGCTCCAATACAATTCTATTTTTTAAGCAATTCAACACATGGAACAAATTGGGCAACATGCATTACAAAACTGAAATTAAGTTAAGGATCAAATTCACACCTTAAAGTAGGGATCCCATCTTGGGTTCTCTGCTATCTTGGTTGGGGTCTCCGATGAAGGTGGCCTTATGTATTATGCTCTTCACTCACCCACCGTGTGAAGGACCAAGTGGAAGTTACGACTAACAGTTTCACCAGATCTATCAAAATTAGTGGCCACTAATCTATTCCTAAGGTTGTATCCCACTGTATTTAAAAACATTGCTACTTGTTCAACACACATGTGTATAGTCTCTTCAAGTAAGCCACGATTTTTAAACAGTTGACAAAAACGGAAGAATGAGTCTCTTCTAAGCCTAAGCATGTTAACACATGTTGTGTCATTCTTCCAAATTTTATTGTTCAGATACTCAATTCTCATTCTATCTCTTTCTTCCATTGGACCGTAGCTAATGCACTGTCTACGTTCACTCCTTTTTCTTTTCCTAGACCTAACAACTATTGCCATCATGAAAAGCAACATATGAGCTGCAGGTGCATAAATCAAAATCTTGGTCCTCTTGTCCATTAGCTAAACTGAAGGAAAAAATAAATTTGAACATAAAAAGACAATATTCACATATTACAAGTCCAGATCTATGGATATCCAAAAGCAAGAATGCATCGTCACTTCAATCAACTATCAATCCTATTTTCTATTCTTAGATTAACCAGATTTTTTTACCAAAGGATTAAGGAGGGGAATATTTAATACCTGCTCCTTGCTCCCTGCTGCGCGAGACGAACAGCAAAGGGACAACAGAGATGTGCCACCGGGGCCTGCTCCCTGCTGCTGCTGTGCGACCGGCAAAGGAGATGTGCGGCCGTGCGTGGCGGTGCTGTCTCCCGTCCGCTGCTCCTTGCTGCTGTTCATGCGTCCGGCGGAGGAGATGTGTGGCGAGGAAGCTGCCCCGCCCACTGGTGGCGAGGAAGATGCGACCGGCGTGGAGATGTGCCTGGCGGAGGGAGTCAAACGGCAGGGGAGTCGAATGGCGGGGGCAAGGCGAGGAGCACCGCCCTGAGCAGAGAGCAGGAGTAGAGATAGAGAGGAGTCTGGAGGGGAGTGGTGATGGTGAAGATAAGGATGGGAGGTGAGGAAAGTCTGCACGTGCTCCCGCGCGTCCACGCTGACCGTAGATAAGCTTGTCTGTTCGTTTTCTGGTGACCAGGATATACAACATCTAAGGGGAATATATCATGTTTTGGATATCCATGCCTAACTTATTTAGGGAACCAAACAGGCCTTGTCCAGGGATATCCCTATCCCATCCATGGATATTCCATGAACCAAACACACCCTCACTGATGATGGTGTAGGTAATGTAACTGGCTGAATGGAATCCCACGGAACGCATATAGTTCTGTAATCGTGCTCATGCTGAAATGTTGGAGATCTGTGATAGGCTGATAGAGTGTGATGGCAACCAACTAAACTTGTTTTGTTCTCGTTTGGATCATGGCCGACAGCCTATATGTTTTTCATCTTTAATAAGCATGGGGCCTCTTACCTGCTGAAGTTTTAAAATACTGTGTTTTTTATCTATAATATAAAGCATGGGGTTTTTACCTGCTGAAGTTTTGAAGTAATATGCGTTTCAAAAAAAAAAAATTGAAGTAATATGGTATCGTGAGGATTAAAGGGTGTGCAGAAACAAAGAAAGGTCCAGGTTTCTTCCTCAAGTAAAAGAGTCCGATTTCAGATGTGAAATCCATCGATCTTGTAAGGTCCTTCCTCGTCTGCAGCACATGGGAGCACATAGACTCTGCAATGCAAGTAGAGAAAGGGCTCTGCGATGCAAGCAGAGAAAGACGAGTGAGAAAGATGATATGCAACTCATCAGATATCATCATTCAGCAAACAACTGTGCAACTCATCAGATATAATCATTCAGCAAACAACCAGCCAGATTTGTGAACAGCTCTAAGTGTTTGAGAGGTCAAACACCAACACATTACGCTGCAGATCAAATGGCTCACTGAAATTGATGAGCGCACCTTCTCAAATTCAGATTTTCATTTTGCATATTTTTTACTCGTTTATTGCCTTCCGGCTGCTAAAAGCGTGTATAAGCAATTAACAATGACGATTGATGAGCACATCGCTGCGCTTTTGCTACATCTGTTTGGACAAACTTCCTCATGTTTCAGGAAATTGTTTTACGCGTGATGAGACTCAAATTTCAAAAAATAGAAAACCCTTCAATACGATGTCGGATGAAGATAATTTTTATATGTAAATTGTAGACCTCAATGAGATCTACAACTTTATCGTTTTATTTTTTTTCATTTGAGGATAGTAAGATGCTCGAAAAAATAATATAAAATTTTAGCACCATATTTTATCGCGTGATGAGACTCAAATTTTAAAAAATAGAAAACCCTTCAATAGGATGTCGGATGAAGATAATTTTTATATGTAAATTGTAGACCTCGATGAGATCTACAACTTTGTAGTTTTGAGTTTTTTCATTTGAGGACGTTAAGATGCTCGAAAAAATAAAATAAAATTTCAGCGCTCCCAAAAATATTAAAAAAATATTAAATTGTACTGTTCACCCACAAAATCAAGTTTTGAGTTTTTTCATTTGAGGACGTTAAGATGCTCGAAAAAATAAAATAAAATTTCAGCGCTCCCAAAAATATTAAAAGTTACTGTTCACCAGCCAAACCGCCCACAAGGTTAAAGTTGGACTTTTTCGAGAGTTGGAGGACCAAAGTTGTCCGGTTTTGAAGTTCGAAGTTGAAATCCGGACTTTGGTGAAAGTTGGAGGGTGTAAATTGGACTTTACCCTAATTTTAAAATATCCATCTTGTGATAATTTAAATGTCCTTTGACAGGTTCGGATCATAATGTTAGAGTTCACCTTTTATCTGCTCTGGTTCATCTGAACAGCTTAGAAGCACATCTACCGTTCTTTCTTCAGGAGGATAAAGCATCTATCAGCTATTATGTCACATTCCACATCGATGCTGCTAGGAACTGAACTCATCGATATGGAATTCCGCCCACTCTGGCTGCAGGAGTGCAGGATCAAGGTACAGGAATCAGGGCATGGATATACAAGTGCTCTACATGCCAAAGCCATGGCTCTTGAGCTAGCTGCCATCACATCATAACCAAAAATTTGAAACGCCCTAACTGCTCTTCCAAATGAGAAGGCTAGGACATCGGATGATAAAAGCCCTACAACTTCAGGGTTCACAAAATGCAGGATACATGCAAATCAGGAAGCTCACAAATTCATAATCTTCTAGTTGCTGTATAACTGGTTTGCCATGGATACAAATGCCAGCCACTTCAGTTTTTTTTTATTTACATTTTACTCCGTATATTATTGAAAAGGAAAACAGAACTGTATTCATGATCTTTCAAGTCGACTAGAGGTCTAGAGCTGTTTCGAAACACGTCTGTTTCTTGGTCTGAATGAACTCTGAATCAGGTTTGGACAACGGTACAATGGTAGGCTCACTTTGTTTGCTCGATATGTTTGTCGTTCTTCAAATTACTCGGTACGGTGGCACAGAGATTTCCGCTAACCATTAGAATGATACTGGCTATTTCTACTAAAACTGGCTTGGTGCCCTCTACCTCTACGACTCTGCCTCTCAATCTCACTAGCATTATCTTCAGTACTGCATATTCATATATGATCCTGCAATGCATCAATGCATGTAGTAAGCACTAAATAGCAAAGCCTTACTGCAATATAATGCAGCTTATATAGTAATAAATGAACTATTGTGTAGTTTTAAGATTTATGTCTTTTAGCCACAATCACGAGTGGCTGACACCAAAGGTTGCTATCTTGACGATCTTCTGAAAAAGCACGAAAGATACATCTGAATTGGAATCCAAAATGCGACGGCCCTTAGAGCACCATAAGGTTGCTCCTTGGATCAGGAACAGGGGTATATGCCGCCTGCGAGATGGTATATCAGCACTGCCATAAGCTGAAACAACAAAGTCTGCCGACCCGGGGACCATGCAGAAGAACAACGGAGTAGGCGGCAAGGGTACAACAAGACGATCAGCTACGCTCCAACGCTGAATCGGTCGCAAAGATCTCAGTGTGCAAATTGCACAGCGCTTCCCTTCAGGGCCATGCTCCCCTGTACCTGTCACCACTCACCAGCAAGATGGGCCACCAGACCTTTGCACGGCTGCCGTTCTTGGCCTTGTGAAACATGGGTACATCATACATGGCAAGTGGAATGGTAGCCCGATGCATTCTGAGCCACGCGTTGTTTTGGACCGGAGAATTCGGAGGCAACAAAAGGGCCGAGAGAAAGAAAAATCTGGTACTTTTATTTAGATGGATCCATCTTTCTCTACACCATCATAGTCATAATGAAAACAAAAGAAGCTCTTGAACACTGGAAGCTCGTCCTAGGAAAGAAAATACAAAAAGAAAGAGGATCTAGTAATATTATACAAAGGGCTTCTTCTTAGTAGATATTCTCAATAGTCATAAGTTGTTATGATCGAACACCGAGTTGATTCACGGTGAACTGAGGCCATCTAGACGCCAAGGCGTTACTGCTTTGCCTGAAATGTTGAATGTTTTTTTTTTGTCAGAATTCAGAGTTTAATTGACAGTACTTTTCTACGCAATCATTTCAAAATAAACCTGTGTAATTACCTGGGAGTAGATGAAGGTTCCAAGAATGGCGATGGCGGCTCCGAGTGCGTTGATGGGTTGGACGGGCGTTTGGAAGATTATGATGGAGGCGACAATGACAGAAATCCTCTTCATGGTGTTGCCAATGGAGAATGTAAGCGGCGAGATCTCATCCAGCGACATGTAGGATACTTGGTTGTACAAGTGGTAGAACACGCTCTGCGCCGCCACCCACCTACGCAATCCACACAGAGGAAGTCTTAGCCACATGAATCAAACTGAATTATCACAGATATCAAAGCAATAATCGATTTTTGTTCTGCAGGACGAGCAGACCATTGCAGACCAGAGAAATCATATCTCAGTGCCATGCTCTGACAGCTCTGTCCCTACACAAGCAACTGCGCTTTTTGGGAGGCAATGCTAGATACTTATGAGTTATGACACAGATCAGTAGATCATAAGTTATGCCATCAATGTTGTGGATTTTGTGAGGTATTTAGGGTGTAAGTGTTGCAAGCTACCGTGTTTAAAATTGATTCAACGCTTGGAATTCCCAGCAATTAAACACAAAAATCTCAAACAGCATGGCAGCTGTGACAGTGCAATGCTACGTGAGTAGTCCAAGGAGCATGTGAGCTTACCAGACGAAGTTGGGACCAATCTCGGCGACTGCGTTCTGCCAGCCCGCTGCCCACACCTTGGGCCCCTCCATGGCGATGGCGAAGGGGAGGAGGATCACCAGCGACATGATGGAGAGGCAGGCGTAGTAGTTCATCCCACTCACGGACTTGCCCTTCATCCCCTTCTTGGAGAAAATTGTCCGGAAGACGAATGCCAGGTTCGAAATCATTGCCCCCATGAATCCTACAGTGGATCGTTGAACAAGACAGGTTCAGTAATCATTTTTATAAAATTACTTTTTTTCCTTGATTGGTGTTGAAATCAAGTGAAAAATATCTACGGAAACCAGCCTGAAGATACCATCACTCTGATATTTCTCATGTATGATATATCAGCATAAGTATCTCCGAGATTCAGGAGATGGGGATTTCCATGTCACTCACCAACCATGTTGAAATTGAGCTCGGTGACGGCGGAGAGAGCGCATCCACCGATGATCGGGAGGAGGGAGAAGTAGACCGGCGCCGGGAAGTGCTCGCCGAGGAAGAACCTGGAGACGAGCACGCTGAATGCCGGCTCCCCGCTCTTGATGATGTGCGTGAACGACACGGCCACCTTAGCCATGCTCACCGTCGCCGCGACGTGCCCGATCGTGTGCGCGATCGCAACCTGCTCGGCCGGCCGGCCACGAGACGATTCGCATCAGCACCAGAGAGCGCACATCTAGAAGAAGAGATCTTTAGGAAGGAACTAGGAAGCGGTGCCGATACTTACGGGAGTGAGCGACTTCCAGAAATCGAGGTCCGTCTCGGGCGCCTCGGCGATCCTGGTGGCCCAGGACGCGAGCATGATGGCGGAGCCGGCGGCGAGGGAGAGCGTCGACGTGAGCCACGGGTACGGGAACGCGTTCAGCACCTTCTTGTTGTAGATGTTGAAGATCACGTTCAGCGCCCACCACGTGGCGAAGTAGACCCCGATCTTGGCGCGCCGCGCGTTCTCCGCGGGCGCGGCGGCAACCTCCACCGGCCGGGCGCCGTCTGCGGTGGCGGACGGCGGCGCGGGGGACGCGGAGCGGTCATTGCGGCCCGCCGCCGCCACCGACACGGTTGCGAGGACATGCTCCTGACGGTACAGCGGACGCGCGGAGACGGTGAGCGAGAGCGGCCTGAGGCCGGCGGCGGCTGGGAGGGGAGGGAGGTGGAGGGGCTTGAAGGCCGCCTTGCTGGTGCCCGCAGCCGCGGTGGTGGAGGGCTTGACGGAGGCGGCGGCGACCAGCATTGTCATTGTGGCAGAGGGGAAGGGTGGCTGGCCTAGGTTGGCGAGTTCTTGGGGTCTTGTTGGAGAGCAGCAGGCGCCTGCAGCTGCGGAGGCTGTGCGTGTGGTGTGTGGTTGTCTCTTGTCTGGTCTCTGATGGGAAGGGAATGGTGAGGTGGAAGGTATTTATAGAGAGCGCGCCAAGGTGAAGGAAGTCGGTTTGCCAATTTGGATCTGTGTTCTGCTTCTTTCTCAGATCTTTTTTTTATATATATATTTACCATGAGGTTTTTATGGTTTCAGTGTTTTTCGTTTTCCATTTTTCTTTTGATATTATTATTTGATGTTCATTTATTACACTCCCTTGAGTTACATTTGAGCATATTCATTTTCTTAAGCTTTATGTGCCAAACTTTAATTTAATAAATGAAGAATATAAGAGAAAGTGTCAGATAGAACAGGAATAAACCACATTGACACCTCTAGTATCATATATAGAGGGTTAGAAGTACCAGATTTGACTCAATTAGGGAATAACCACAAAGTGTAGCGCAATTGTGCAAACTGCAAAGTAAGCACACGTCATTAAGTTTCATGGCAATATACCTTCCCTAGGTATGGAATATTGTAAGTTCTATATACCTATTTAATGTTAACAATATCGTTAACACAATAATGTATATTTCTTTTAAGGAAACAATTTGAATTTTAAATGTCCATTTTATCGATTTTTAGTTCTACATGTACGGAATTCTTTCGTATTTTGTACACATATAAAGTTTCTTTCTGCTACAACACATTCTGTTGAAATTTCTCCACACATTTTTCTCATTTCACAACAATGAGACTGCTACGTTTTTTGTTGGCTTATTTGTGATGTAGACTTTGAGTTATGACAAGTCTGAACACAGTTTACCAAGAATTTCGCAAGGCGCAAGGCTAAAATTGACAAAAGAATTTTCCTGGAAATTTTTTCATCACGGGGCACCACTTCTATAATCGTCTGGTCACCATGAGAAACATATATATTTTTTTTTTTCTTTGCGAATTACACATTATAATGTTTCACTTGACTGCAGCCTGCAAGACCTGTAAGCTGTACTATAGCTCAAAGGTTTTTCCTCAATTCTGAACATGTGTTAGACTTTCTTTCTTTTTTAGGTCCTGGACATGTGTTAGACTTATAAGAGTATATGGGTTGCTGCTAGCTTTGAAGATAATTCAACAATAAAACGAAGTCTATACAAACATAAAAGTATATATAACGTATTACCGTTATTGGTCTTGTTTGAGAAAAACAAAACGCCATCATTTAACATATGATCAGAACTGGAACAAACAATAATTGATTTTTTATTATTATGTCAATTGCCAAGTATTCAAACTCTCACCACTTAGACGGTCTCCAACGAGGAACTCATATGGGCACCTAAATCCAAAATGGGTAGGAAGAGACCCAAAATCAGCCTTCAACAAAGTACCTATACGGGAGATCTATTTTGGGTTACCTGGGAGGCATAACCCAAATATAGACATCCTCTCTCCTGAAAACCTATTTGCAGAAATGATTTTCTTTTATGTCTTGTTATTGGAGAAGATGTCGAATATGTATTGAACCTTTTGCCTGTAGCGCTCCCTAAAGGACGAATAGGTCTTGTATTTTGAGTGTTGTTGTTGGAGATAGCCTTAGGCAATGACTATAAGTCATGTTGCCCAAATCTATAACAAATAAACTCACAGCCGATTGCCGCGCTTAAAAATACACTATATAAAGATATTTTTCTTGTTATATTGTCTAAAATGTCGAGCCTCAAATGTATAAATCGAAAAAAGAAATGTATAAATCAGTCTTTTCAAAAAGGAAACGTATACATCAGCTTTTTCAAAGGAAAAGGACAATGCCTGCAAGAGTACAAACCTCCCTCCTACCTCTGGAATCTGGACGGCCCTCGCGTGCCGAAGCCTGCCGGTCAGACTTGTCAACAGCGATCGCCGCCGGCGCTCGGCAACGGCCACCAGAACCTAGCCCGGGGAACTCATCTGAGGACCGAGAGACGCGCGATCAAAACGCGCTCCCTCGTGATCTAGCTGTCACCGTTTCACCGCCGGCAAGGCAAGCTTTGGCCTCACTCACCGTCGCTCCTGCCTCCTGGCTCGCTCGGTGGACGGCCGGCGATCGAAACGGACGACGCGCGCGCGCCCGCGTGTCCCCGTCCGCCCCACCACACCAGACGCGGGCCCGCCCCTGTCGGCTCGTCCCCGTGGCCTCGTCCTCGTGAGTCGTGACCGTCGATCGGCTCTCGCCGCCGCGGGCCGGGCCCCCCACCCACGGTGGCGCGATACGCGTTTCACGGCTGAGGGCGCCCGCGGCCCCGCGTGGCAGGTCGCCGCCGGGCGTCGCGACGAGCGCGGGCCCGCGGCACCCCGCGGCCCGGGAGCGCTGCCCACCGTTGATGCGATCGGCGGGCACGTGCGCGAGATTTTTCCCCGACGCCACGCAAGTTCCCGGCCCCGATCTCTGTCACGAGATCGGCGGTCCGTTTCAGGGGACGGGTGCCCGCGTGGTGCTGCCGTGTCCCCACCGGCGATCTAGCTGGCGATTTGATTTGATGGTGTCTTGCTTGCATTTTGCCTCCATGGGTCGTGAGTTGGCGAGCAGCGAGCGCCTCTCAGGACCGCCGCACTCGCGGAGTGGGGTGTGACGTGGCGTGCCACGATGGAGCGTGCGTCCGAGATACTTATCACTCGTGATTTCAGGTGACAAGTCTGTGTGTTTTCTTGGAAAAATAGAGGGAGTGGAATTTATGTTGGGTTTGGGGATTCTACGAGCCTTGTGAAAACTCCATATATTGTTTTCCATGATGCATGCTTGTGCACGGATCTTTGTCATTGTGATACTGCTGACTAGTTTTTTTTTAAAATTTTATTGCTGACTAGTTTTGATGAAGGTCGTCATAGTTATCTAGGTTGGTGATCTAGTTGGCAATTTGATGGCATTGCATTCGTTTTGTTGCTTCTATGGACCATGGGTTCACGAGCAATGAGCACCTCAAGTTCTTGGATTTAAGGGACTGGTAGAGTATATATATCATTTCAAGAGTGGTTCATATCTCCATGATTAGCAGGTGTCACGTTTTCAATAACTTTCCAAAAAGGAAAGTGGGGGAGGAGTTATGTGTATGGCTTACGAATTCTCCGTCACAAAATATCAAAACTCTGTATGTCTTCCACGGCGCATGTATTTACACCGATCTTTTTCAATGAGCTTGCATTGGTGATTATTGATTTTAGGGGAGGGGGTACAATGGTGGTGCTCGATATATGGAGCATGCGTCGAGATCACTCGTGATCTTAGGTGACATGTTTCGGTATTTTTCGAGAAATAGAACGAGTATGCTTGAGGTATTTGTAGGGTTTATAAGAATTCTCTAGTGCGAGGCAGTATCAAAACTCAACATATTCCTTTCCATGGTGCATGCTTGTGCACCAATCTCTGTCACGGGGCCATGGGGGTCGCTGACTAGTTTTGAGGAAGGCCATAGCTTTCTAGGTTGGTGATCTAGTTGGCAATACGATGGCATTGCGTTTATTTTGTTGTTTTCTATGGACCGTGGGTTCACGAGCAATTAATGAGCACCCTAGGTTACGTTCCTGGATACAAGGGACTGCAGTGGAGTATATACCATTTCAAGGAGTAGTTCATGTCCAGGATCCCTTGCGATAGCTGGTGTTATGTTTTCAGTAACTTTTCGAAAAGGAAAATGGGTGAGAGTTATGTGTATGGCTTACAAATTCTCTATCACAAAATATCAAAATTCTATATCTCTTCCTCGGCGCACGTATTTACACGATCTTTTTCAATGAGTTTGGTGGTTATTGATTTCAGGGGACAGGGGTACAATGGTGGTGCTCGACATATGGAGCATGCGTCCATATCACTCGTGATCTTAGGTGACATGTATCAGTATTTTTCTGAGAAATAAAATGAGTACGCTTGATATATTTATAGGGTTTAAGAATTCTCTAGTGCGAGGCAATACCAAAATTCAACAAATTCCTCTCCATGATGCATGCTTGTGCACCGATTTCTGTCATGGGGCCATGGGGGTCGCTGACTAGTCCGGAGGAAGGCCATAGCTATCTAGGTTGGTGATCTAGTTGGCAATTCGATGGCATTGCATTCATTTTGTTGTTTGTGTGGACTGTGGGTTCACGAGCAATGAGCACCCTAGGTTACGTTCTTGGATCCAAGGGACTGCGATGGAGTATATACCATTTCAAGGAGTAGTTCATGTCCAGGATCCCTTGCGATAGCAGGTGTGAAGTTTTCAGTAACTTTCCAAAAAACAAAATGGGTAAGATTAAGTGTATGACTTACGAATTCTCTATCACAAAATATCAAAACTCTATATTCTCTTCCTCAGCGCATGTATATACACCGATCTTTTTCAATGAGCTTGGTGGTTATTGATTTCAGGGGATCTTTTCAATGAGCGATATGGAGCATTATTGAGAACCACTCATGATCTTAGGTGACATGTTTCAGTATTTGGTGAAATAGAACGAGTATGCTTTGAGATATTTGTAGGGAGCATGCATCAAAACTCAACACGCAGAGAACCACTCATGATCTTAGGTGACATGTTTTTGTCCAAAGCAAAATTTCAAATATGGTTTGAGAAATAGAATGAAGTATGACCCAACTTGAGATATATTGTAGCTAGTTTTAGTCCATATAAGAACTCAGTCTCTCTGTAGTCATTTGATATGTGATTAGTTAAATTTATCATAGTATATATGGTTTTATTTCTGATGTCAACATATTTCACTTATGTTTTTATCAAGTTGGCCCCCCTTGATTTTGTGCCGTGCTCCGTCGCTGACTCAACATATTCCTTTCCATGGTGCATGCTTGTGCACCGGTCTCTGTCAAGGGGCCATGGGGTCGCTGACTAGTTTTGAGGAAGGTTATAGTTATCTTGGTCGATTGATGATCTAGTTGGCAATTTGATGACATATTTTCTTGTTTT